CAAAACAAATTTACGTCAAGAACAGCACTGCCTTATCTACAAAGGAGTGAGTGATTCGTTGACTATGGGACGTTCTTCTTCCGGTGGAGGAAAGGGACGTGTGACTCCTCAGAAAGTCAAGAGCAATTCAAGTTCAACAGTTGTGAAACATCTATTTTCAATGAAAGATGAAAACGATGGAAAGGCAAGATCGTCGTACGAAGATGCCGAAGAAAGAGTGATTGGCTACATCCAAGCTTCTGGAATGAAATGTTCCGAAGACATGGTGAAATCAATTCGAGATGGAAAGTCGATCGACTTCAATGCGATTGCTCCAAGATTGAACGCTCCAACTCAAACTGAAGCTGTTACAAGAGAAACAGAGATGGCCCAAAACAAGATTCTCTATTCTGCAAAGCTCGACGAGAACATGCGAAGATCAGCCTACTTCGAAACAAACAAGAGAACTGTCAAATCAAACATCATGCTTAAGTCTGTGACAAAAGCGATGGATATCAAGCTTCAAGGTGAAACCGATTTCACGACTACTCTTGAAGATCCAATCAAACTCTTGAAACGTATTGAACGATTTATGAAGAAGAGTGCTGATGCTGAATATGATTTCTTGAATTTCTGGGAAGCGAATCAAAAGTTCTTTGCTATGAAGCAAGGAACAACCGAGAACTTGATGCATTTCAAGGAACGATTCTTGAGACAGGCTGAAGTCCTGCAATATCTATATGGCGTTGCCTGGTTCCGAAATTTTGCAGTCAAGACAAAAGCGTATGCTGCTATTGCTAGCACCAATACTATTGCTAAAGACAAGTTCAAGGATGATATCTTTGAAGCAGTTCTTGCAACAGGATTTCTGTGCAACTGTGATCGAACGAGAACAGCTCCTCTGATGTTGGATCTTCAGACGAACTACTGCAGGGAAGTTGTTTCGGATGCTTCCATTGACTTTCTGGTAGCAATCTGTCTGGGCATTTTGGGGACATATGGTCCTCTTTGCCACATATATAACATGCCGCCTTTTTCTTATCGTCCTTCGGTTTACCTTTTCCTTTACCTTTACCTTTATTTGGCTGGTCGTTTCCTTGGTAAAGGTTCACTCCCGGATTCTTGATTACATCCATGTGAATCTTCAACATATCTTGTGCTTTGCTGACCGTCTTTGGATAATAATGTTGATTACAGGAAGAAGCTCAATCTTAATCAGATTGGAGCAACTGTCCCAACTACAGCTACAGTTCCTGGACCTTCTCCAGCGACAAGTGTGATCACGGGTGGAACATTGAGTGTTGCGGGAAGTGTTAACACACCTTTGCGACTTGCTGGTA